GATGCTGCAAAAGTTAATGCAGTGATAAAAGCTATATGGGTTGTTTTTTTTCCGTGGAGGGATTTGGCCTTGTACGTCGAAATATAGACACTTGCCTGTGTGTACATATGCAAACTTGTAACTCTGGAAAGCAGAAGTCAACGTGGCAGAAGAAATTTCAATTTAAAAATTAAAAGTGTTCACAGTATTGTCCTTTTAGCATTCATTATTTTGGCCTTGGAAAGGTTGTAGGTCATTCATTTAACAAAGATTTGTTGAGCGTCCACTGTGTGCCAGGCTCTAGTCTAGATTTTAGGATATAGCATTGAACAAATCAGACAAAATACTGATTATTTGGGGGCTGATTATTTTAAACTTCATAGACATTCAATTCTATTGATGACAATACACAATACATAATACATAAATTTATACATAATGAAGAAAAATAAAGCATTATAACAGGATGGAGAATGGCAGAGAAAAAAAGCCAGGGTGCCAGGGAAGACCTTTCTGAGGAAGTGATGCTGGAGCAGAGTGATAAATGATGTCACAAAACAAGCTATGCAGATATTTGCAGGCAGAGGGAATAGCAGGTGCAAAGGCCCTGACACAGGAATGTGTAGGATGTGATGTGATGAGGAACAGCAAAAGGACAATGTAACTGATGGGAGGATAAAGTGGTAGAAGATGCAGTTGGAGAGGTGGCCGAGGGCAGAGCATGGAAAGCATTGTAGACCACTCAGGAAGGACTTCTGAATTTATTCTGTGTTATTGAGAGCCTTTGTTTATTTATTTGTTTGTTTGGGGGGAGGTTGTTTGTTTGTTTATTTGGTCCTATGTCACCCCACGTGACATATGACATATGACATAATCTGACTTCCTTTTTAGAAGGAACTGTGGAAAAGAGATTGGATTGTCAAGAGGACAATTTTAGGATCTCATGCAGCAATTCCATACACAAGAAATAATAACTATATCCTTCTATTCTTATAAATGAGTGCATTAAAAAATAACGTTGAAGCCAATTCAAACTACATCTTCATCTTGTGATTTCTCTCAGGTTGCTAAAACATTCTTGTTTCTAATTTACTAATTCTATCCACAGCTATGACTGATGTTCAACACTGATGTTTAGGCTCTAGAGATACCAAGAGTGGTATCTACCAGTATCAAGTGTCAAGGACTTCACAATTTGATCTGCAGTAGGTACATTAATTATTAATAATTAATAATTATTAATTATTAGTATGTTAATATCTATATTATGCCAAGAGTATAAATAAATTCTTGACTACACGAAGTGATGGGGGTGAGGGCACATTAGAATAGTTTCTCAGGTAGGCGGTTGAAAGGTGAGTAGGAGTTGGCTGGGGTGGGGGTGGGGTGGGTGGGGGAGCTCAGGAAAAGCTATTTCAGAGAGCACTGCACATCATGTCCAAGGGCACAGCAGCACAAAAGGGCTGGGAAGGAAAGATGCATCTTTTGGTGTAGATTTTAGTGGGAGCTGGAGCACAAGATCGGAGATGAGGATTAAAAAGTTGGGTAGTGGTCGTAAAGAGACAGGTCCCTTTTTAGAGATGGAGATTTAGGTTTCTGCTTTGGGGCACTGGAGCATCCGCAGGGATTTCTAAGCCAGGGCATGATGGCATGTGTGGTTTGAGAAGAAAAGTGGTGGGGGGGCTGGAGAGGAGGGTTGGTAGGAGAGGTTTTCAGAAATAAAACTCATGGGATTCTTTAACCCATTGTGTGGGAGGAGGTGAGGGAAAGGGAGGAAGTGAAAATGACTGTAGTTTATCGGGCAACTGGGAATAACAGGAGTTCAGGAGGAGTGTGTTTGGGGATGGGTAGGAAAAGAGCCTGTGCTGGATTGTAACTTGCTTGATAGAGAGATGAAATGTAGAGGAAGAGATGCCCAATACTCAACTGGAATGTGGGTCTGGACCTTAGGGAAGCAGCTGGGCTGGAATGGAGCTCCTCAGTCGTATCCGTGATGGCTGAAGCCATGGGAATGGGTGCGATCTCTGTGGGAGTGAGAACGAGTGTTCATATATTTTTAAATACTCATTAAATTACTCATTAACGATGACTTACAGTGTCTTTCCTTTGATTTTCTACTTTCACTACCCACTCCTAGAAAAGTGTTCAAGAAATAAAATTGAAGTCGTTCTAAATCAAATCCCAGAGTTTTTCCATCAGCCTGGCTTTCTGGTGTGCATATGTTCGAGCTTAATTATAAGGCCATGGACTATTATTTAGTGATTTGGAGAACTCTTCAGGTGTTTGTTCGACATTTGTCAAGCTTTAAATTAAAACTCATGTTTCAGGCTCCTTCTGTTGCTCTGAAGAATTGATAATAAAAGTTACTCATAATGTATTGAGAGCGCTTATGTGAGACACACCCTTGGTTAAGTGCCTTTTCTGCATGATCTTACGTGATCCTCACCGCAGCCTGTGCTGTGATCCGAGGCACCTGTGCTATTATTACCCATTTTACAGATGAGGACATGGAGGCCCTCAAGAGCAGCGTTAGGTAACTTACGTGAGTGTACTTGTCCAGGAATGGCACTGCCAGGACTCCGACCAGGTGTCTCTTGCTTCAAAATGCTGCTCTAAACACTCTGCCTACTGCCTACTCTTCCAAGACTCTTTTAGTCTGGAGCATTAAAAGAAAGCTGTTGGACAAGCAATATAAAGCCTTATTTATGGAATCAAACCTCCTGGCTTTATTCAGATCATTGAACATATTTATCCTACAAATAAAGTTTAAATATCAGTTGTTGATTTTAATGTTAGCTAGGTTAAATAATTCACTAATCAGATACTCATTTTCTGACATGATTATCAGTCATATCAAGATCATTTGATCCTTGTCAAGGATTAATGCTTTCAAGGTTTTATCTGGAAGCAGCCAAGACACAAATATTTGTAATGACAGTGACCTTGCCTCGGAATCCCACTGGGAAAGCCCACTAACCTCACATGCAGGGGCAGCGCGGTGTAGTAGGTCCAGTTAGAGCTTCTGGGGGCAGGCAGACTGAAGTCTGATCCCAGCAACCCAACTTGCTAACTCTGAGCTTCAGCTTTGTCACGTGCAAAACTGTGATAATAATAGTACCCACTTCATAGAGTTGTTGTGAGCTTTAGTGGCAAGTAAAACATTTAACATTCTAACGGCCACATAGTATGTGGTCCCAAAATATAGTTGCACCTACTGAAGACTTGAAGAGAGAAGAAACACCTGTGTAATATTTTGGAATCTTCGAATTGAAGCTGAGTAAAATCACAGAACAATGAAGGAACTCCACTCAGTCATTCAAGTCTCCCCTGCATGCTGAATTTGAGATAGGTGCTGGGAACATAAAGATGAACAAGGTACAAAATAAGACACAGTCGCCAGCCTCCAGCTGCTCAGACTCCAGATTCTTCTTAACCCATGCTTTGAAGTCCACTGTATATTTCTTGGAGGACAAGACATCATTTTCCTTTTTTTTCTTTTTTTAAAGCTTCAGTACATGGTTGTGTATCCTAGTTGTTAGTTTTAGTTCTCTATGTGAGCCGCTGTCACAGTATGACAACTGACAGGTGGGTGGTGTGGTTCCACGACCAGGAAACAAACCCAGGCCATGGTGGTGAGAGAGCAGAATCTTAACCACTAAACCACCAGGGCTGGCTCAAGACATCATTCTAAACAAAGTATGGCAAGTCACACTTGAAGTCTTATAAACAGCACACATATGAGAGAGAAAATTGGGCTGGCCTGGTGGCACAGAGGTTAGGTTCACACATTCTGCTTCGGTGGCCCGAGGTTCACCGGTTCGGATCCCAAGTGTGGACCTATTCACTGCTTGTCAAGCCATGCTGTGGCAGGTGTCCCACATATAAAGTAGAGGAAGATGGGCATGGATGTTAGCTCAGGGCCAGTCTTCCTCAGCAAGGAAAAAAAAGAGGAGGATTGGTGGCAGATGTTAGCCCAGGGCTAATCTTCCTCAAAAAAAGAGAGAGAGGGGGGCTGGCCCCGTGGCCGAGTGGTTGGGTTCGCACGCTCTGCTGCAGGCCGCCCAGTGTTTCGTTGGTTCGAGTCCTGGGCGCAGACATGGCACTGCTCACCGGGCCACACTGGGGCAGCGTCCCACATGCCACAGCTGGAGGGACCCACAGCAAAGAATATACAACTGTGTACTGGGGTGCTTTGGGGAGAAAAAGGAAAAAAATAAAATCTTTAAAAAAAAAAGAGAGAGAGAGAAAATCTATTGTCATAGAACTGATGGTCCCTGAAGTGTCCTTGGTGTGACAGTCTCCTGACCCCTGAGGAAAGGTTGTGTTAGGTGTCAATAGTAGACTCCGTTACCCTGTTGTCACATCATAGCTGCAGTGACCAAGGGCACCTTGTTCAATTGGCAAGCAAAGACGTTTCCAAAGAAAGAACTATGATCACATTACCTAGAGAGGTGGTCTCAGAACAGGAAGCAGGATGGAGAGGGGAGCACAGCCCAGGAACAAGGCTCAAGAGAGACAGTTTAGGCTAACACTTAAGAGCACAGACTTTAGCAGAAGACAGAGCTAAGATTTAAAGCCTCGCACAGTTGTTTGACTTAGCCAAGCCTGATTTCTCATGTATTAAATGGGGATATAATATTTAGTTTGTAAGTAGCTGTGGTGGTATATTTCAAGTGCCTTTAAATAGTCGGTTCTAATACATGATATTGTCTGGCAGCAGCAGCAGCAGACCCCATCTCCCACTGACAAACAGTAACCCAGTTTCCGTATTTGCTTTGAATACTGTGCAGCATCATCATGGAAGATAAAATCTAGATGTATATGTGAAAGCATAAAATGATGCAAGTTTATGCAATTAATTTATGTCCTCATCAAATGTACTGTTCGCCCCTTTGTCCATGACGAGGCAGGGCAGTTAACTAGGACTATATCAAGCAGAATGAAAGAAAACCATCTAAAGCAGCTGTGCGTTCCTCATTGGCCGCCCATGTTGATCCTGACTGTTTCCCTTTTCCTGGCAGGCACTTTCTCTTTAAGACCTCCTCGGGAAGCACACCCCTGTTCAGCAGCTCTTCTCCGGGATACCCTTTGACCTCAGGAACCGTTTACACACCACCGCCCCGCCTGCTCCCCCGGAATACCTTCTCCAGGAAGGCCTTCAAGCTGAAGAAACCCTCCAAATACTGCAGCTGGAAATGCGCCGCCCTGTCTGCCATTGCCGCGGCCCTCCTCTTGGCTATTCTATTGGCATATTTCATAGGTAAGTCGGGGCAGCCTGCTCCTGACCCAGGCTGTGAGAAGGTGGGGGAGAGGTCATGGTCTTCTGAATGTAGAAGCCCTCTTTTGTCTGTACAATTTGCTTGTTGGCTCCTGAAAGACATAAAAATGAGTGATGGATGGGAGTGATTTTTCCCTCCTGAAATCCACTTAAATCTGATGAGTTTCTCCTTCATGATTCTAAATGACATTTATCTGATGTGAAATTAAGCATCCTTACTGTATTCTTTCTTGGAGAGAAGCTGAAAATTGTCATTCCTGCAAACCCATCCCTCACTCCCAAAGTAGCCTTCTAGTCTCCTCCATCATTGGATTTTAACCCAGGTCTGTGCACTGAAATTCATGCAACACTGGTTAACTTCAGCCAGAAATTGAATAGAAGAACAGTGATCAGCATGCCTGGGCACATTTTGATTCAAAGGAAAGCTAAAGTAGCTAGCTTATTTTCAGAGCTGGGGAACAGAAACAGGATTGAGAGACCAGAGCACCCAACAAGGTCTTTGTACAGAATCAAGACCCCCAGACACAGTGGATCTTGTCCACATCCCCTCCTTTGCCTCTGTTCCTTAAGCCTTAACTCAAATCTTACCACGTGTTATGAATCAGAATCAGGTTCACCTCCCACACCAGCTGTGCTTCTGGGAACTCAGAATATGACTTAGGGTAGCAGATTGATGAAGCTGCTGGGGTATCTTTCTTCCCATGCCAAGAATGTTGATGTGCATCCATGGGGTGTAGCCATGTAACTGTGGAAATCCTCAGATGCCAAGAGCTCAGGGGCAAGATGCCACATGCATATGAGCATCCTGGGCTGAACACAAAGCCTGCTCGCAGCTCCTGGCCCCAGCGAAGAGCCCCAGTGCCACTGCTCTGTCAACTGAACTTGCCAACGGCAGATCTCCTGGCCCAGGCACAGGCCACGGTGACGTTTGTTAAAGTTTATTTGTAACACTTGATGGTTCTGGCTTGGTTTCAGGGCAGCTATGACAGGCCTCCCTAGTTTGGCTGTGCCGTGTTGCAAAGCAAACCTATAAAACACCAGCAAAAAGATGCCGACTCCAAAACAGGTCTCAACACTTATGTTGAAACCCCTCCCATTGAAGAGAAAAAAAAAGGCAACCCTGATCATCCTGGCTTTGCCCCTTCTCCTAACAAAAGCCCTGCTTTCTCCCTCAGAAATGGGGGCTTGCACGCTTCCTTCATCCTCAGGCAGCCAGCATGGTGCCTGCCAGAGAAGGAACTGGCCCAGGACTTCCCAGACCATTCTATCCAAGCTTGCCTGATGGCAAGGGAGGGTGACTCCAGACACCTGGGACCTTGCCCAAGGCAGACTTTTACAAGCTAAAAGCTGATGAGAAGTTTCCGCTCTCTCCCGTAATGTCACTATGCTCATCTTAATAAGGAAAAAGAAATTTTTACATTCCTTACCAGTTGCATCTCTCATGGAATGCCCTCTGAAAGTGAGAAAATTGACACTCCAGGGAAAGGCACCATGTTTATCTGGGGCTTTGCAAAAAACCTTTGTCCTCTTAACCCCAGCTCTACATGGGGACTGAGGCCTGAGACCCACGCACCCCTAATTCAAAGTCATGTCAGTTTCTCACTTACCTCTTGATGAAGGATGGAGTAATGGACTGACTTGAGGGAGGGGGAGGGCATCTGTTGCACCTCAATCACTCGAGTAGAATCTTCTCTGTCATTAAACGTAGTTTTGTGTGCTTCCCCAGGTAGATGTTCGAGGAAGGGAGGGACTCGGTGGAAGCAAATTGAATTGCTTCAGGGTCTTTGCATGATTTGGCTTTGTGTCAGAAACTTCAGAAAGGGCCCATGAGCTCACTTCTCAGGCTTAATGTTCTGCTGGGCTGGTGGGCACCATGGGGAGCCCAGATACAGAATTGAGGCACTGCCAGCCTTTTCCGATACGGTCCTCCGTGTACCTCCTATTTCACTTGCAGGGGAGAGATAGATGGCTACTGCCTGATTTATTGAGCTTGCTAGTTAAAAAATAATAGCTTTCTGTAAGGTGATCATATAAATGGGAAACCGTATAGTGAGAGTTTAATGTTTTAATCGGGTGTGTAACTTGTAAATGATGGATTAGGAAACATATTTATCCTCAGTCTGGAGGCTACTGGAAGCTGGACCTGAGCATCTTAAGATGGTTTATTAGATTATAATCCATCATTTCCTATTATGTATGCTTTAGGTAAGATTATGCATTGACCCTGGAGTATTGAAGAATAGTTTATGACTCTAAATGAGTGATGTAACGGGCCAATTTACCCCGCAATAATGGCAGCAAGTGGGGAGCTATAGGGCTTCTCTCCAGAGGTGATGACAGGTCTGCAAGCAGGATGAGGGGTCAAGATCTTGAGTACTTATCTTGACCCCAGTGATCCCTTTCTCTTTAGCCTTGACAAAGTTGTTTTCCTTCTGTGTCTTGGTTTCCTAAGTAAAACATGGGAGCTTGATGGTTATTTATGTGCAGAAACTCCAAAGTGTGGTGAGGATTAATTAATGCATATAAATCACTTTGAAGATGAAAAGCAGTATATTATTAATTACAGAGCTGCAGGGGCATAAACAGTGCATTGCAAACAGGGAGAAAAGTGCTTTCGGGAGAGAGTGATTGTACCTATCTAGAAAAAAAGCCATCAGGGAAGGACAGAAGGGCAACAGAAAAATGGAAGGCCTCCTGTTAAGGAGACCCGGGCTTTTAAGACCTGAGCCCATCCTGGTTCACACATGACTCCTTGTTCCATTGGAACATCACAGGTTCTGAAATGGAAGCATCAGCCCCAGGACACTTATGGACAGGCACTGGGTTCAGGCCATACCAGGAACCCTTTGACAAATAGGTCAAATTATCTTCCTTGCATGTTCAAACTCATTTCCAGAAGTGAACAATTTGGAATAGCTCAGCGCCATGACACTTTCTTCCATAAATCCAGCATGTGGGTGGGTGTAAAAGTAAAATAATGTCAGCTCGTATACAAATTGGAAGACATGAGCCTTTACCAACTCGGGAAAGGTTCCCCAAGTTCCTACTCACACAGCTGGGGTCAGAGATCTTTTATGATATATCGTCCCATCAGATTCTTCCGATGCCAAATTCCCCCAGTGTAGGAAACATCCTGGAATAAAAGATTCTGAAAAGCTGCATGAACCACGAGGGGAGCATTTCGTGCATCACTCAGCCCCTGGCCCAAATGGTTCCCAGGGAATACTGATTTAGGAGAATCTGGCTGTAAAATGCAAGAGAGTTTCCCTCTCACGAAGTTGTCTTTTTATACTTGGGCAGTTCAAGCACTTTCATTGCCTGCAACACCAGAAATCCCTCTAGATCCCTAAGTTTCTGAATCGTGTAACCAGTATAGAGTTTCTCACCTGTTTTATGCCAATTGTACTGTGTTTTTATCCTCATAGTATACATAACAATAACTGGTTAGAACCTTCTATTTGGCTAGAACTGTAAGCTTTTCCACATAAAGCATTTTTATATTATTACTAAATTTGAATTATATCTCCAGCCCCCAACATACACTCTGGCAGAAGATGAAATTGGTATATTACAATCATTTGACAGGGCTTGATGCTGAGGCCCAGTGAGTCTAAAGTCATGTGGCTAATTAGGTGCAAGGCTGAGACTAGGCCCTTGGTCTCCTGACGTCTAGTCTAACCTCTTTCCCTGACTACTCTCTCCTGAACATTACAGTTAGCCATATTTTCCAAATATGACATGAAACCTGAAATTACGTAGTATCAATTCACCTGATCTAATTCTTTCCTCATTAGCAAGAGAGAGTAATTGGTTCCTCTCCTCGTTGAATCATCTTCTAACGCAGTGGACAGAAACCGTATCTTCTTGTCAGCCTCCTACTCTGTCCTTGTATTTCTGCTTTCCCAAATATCTCCTGTTACAGAGGTCAGCAAACTTTTTCTGTAAAGAGCCAGAGAGTCAATACTTTGGGTTTTCCAGGTCACGCACTATCTGTCACAACTACTCAGCTGTGCCCTTGTGATGTGAAAGCAGCCGTAGACATATGTAAACAAATGGGCATGACTGTGTTCCAAGAGACTTTAATTATGGACGCTACAATGTGAATTTGATGTTCTTTTCAAGTTTCATGAAATACTATTCTTTTGATTTTTTTTCAGTCATTTAAAATGTAAAACTATTCCTTAGCTCATGTGCTGTTAAAAACACACAAACGAAAAAATATGTGGCGAACTGGATTTGGCCTGCCTGCCACAGTTTGCCAATCCCTATTTGATCACATTATTGTTCTTTTGCTAAGAATACCTTTTCAGAGTATCTCCACCTTTACCAAAAAAAAAAAAAATTGCTTTCAAGCTGGCTGAGTCCAACTGTATGTCCACTGTAAATGGAGCAGGTGGTGGCCACTTTCTGATACTGCAATCCCATTTCATGATGAATAATTACATCTGACTTTCTAACCCAAACCAAAAAGCAGGAAAAGCAAGCCACTTTTCTCTTTAATTAAAAACTTTCTATACGATAAAAATTCCCATCCTAAAGTGTAGCTATTCACTAGACTGCTTGAAACAGTAGTCCAACTCATGGATGGAATGGAATTGCCTAGCAATTTTGCCACATCCTCACTTGTCCTCAATCTTCAGTTACCCCAGGTTCCTCTGCAAAACCATTGTCTGTTTTTAAAGATTATTCAGTGCCAGATTCCTTCTTTGTTGAGGTTTTCCAACAAGTTGTAACAGTGCTGGGTCATTGAATGACATCCTTGCTTTCTTGTCCTAGGTTAACGTGAGACAGATCTAGTTTCCTTAAAAAGGACCAAAGTTCTTGCTGGGCTATCCCATGTCAGGGAAGAAAGATGCTTGTGATGTGTGACTTTGTTGTTTCAATCCAAATAATCCTACAAATTCTAAGACGAGAGTCACCAAAGTGGTTCAGCGTGACACAGGACTCAGAGTGCGGCCCCTGAGTTAAAAGCAATACGTCCC